GCAAAGACCGGGTCTGAGAGTGCGCCATTGCAGAGACAGGTAGAGGGTTAGTCAGAGGGCTGCACGAGGAGCTGCCGCAGCCTGAGCACTGACTCACCCAGGGCCCAGGTGAGACCGGGCAGCAGGGCAGTGCAGGTGTGGATCTCCAGTGGCCAGATTTACCGTGATCAATGAAATGCAAACCCACTGTCATCGAGTGGATTCTGACTCCCGTTGACCCTGTCTGGGGTTTCCAGGGCTGTCCATCTTTACAGGAGCAGACAGCTTCATCTTTCTCCCTCAGCTGGTAGGGTTGAACCCTCAACCTTGTGCTTAACAGCCCAAAGCCTAACCCACAGAGCATCAGGGCTCTTTCTCGCATAGCCAAGGGAGGTGCAGCCACTCTGCTGCGCTCATGGCTCATCATCAGACCTGCCCGGCAGCTGGCCAGCCAGCGGACAGTGACTGGGAATGTGCAGGCCGGCACACCAGCCTCAGTCGCCCAATGGCCCAGATGCCCATACCAGAGCCCCTCCTGGGCTGGGCGGGACGGCCCTGCTGAGGGCGGCTTCTGGGGCAGAAAGAACAATCTCCTGTCTTGGAGATCAGAGATCATGGCTTGCAGAGCAGGGAAGGAATCCTGCAGGGAGAGGGGCATTGTGGAAATCCCAGGGCAGGCTGGTGACGGGGCTGCTGCTGCGAAACAAGCCCGGGCATCGACAGGCACCCGGAGGGAGGCTTAGCGCTAAACTCACTGGACCATGGAGGGAAATAGGAAATTGCAAAAAAAATTTGCAAAATTATTTGTAGAGCACATTTATGAAAAGAACACATGGGGATTTCAAGGTATGCCAAACAACACAGATACTGCCACACACAGTTGGCATAGATATACAGTCCCCTCGGTTCTAGGGATCGATTCCAAGCACACAGACATGCAGACACAGGTTCATGTGAAGAATGGCTACGGATGCGTTTTTTATATTCGTGCCAAACTGGAGACCATCTGCCCAGCTCCCGGGACCAGCTGCTGGGAGAAGGAGCACATTGGAAGGTCCCAGAAGGAGGAGGAGAAAATAGGGAACTGAGCCCAAAATGATAAGGAGGCTTCCTTGTCAGATAGAGACAGGTGGGACTCCCAAGACCAAGGTCCATAGATACTCTCCAGTCTGGATCCGAGCTCACGCCAGTGTTAGAACCACCAACTACTGAAGACCAGCCAGGTAGCTTGTCCCAAGGACGGGCACAGAGATGAAGTTAGAAGGCAGAAGGGAAGCGGGAGACACAGGGAAGAAGCCTCATCAGGGATGGCATGTTTTTTCATCTTGACATATATCTATATGTTCCCCAAAGTTTCCAACGAGCACCTTCTATGTTTATAATTTAAAAAATAAATAGGTGGCAAAAGTGAAACCGGGCCACCTCCACTTACGGGGCATGCCCAGTCTGAGGTAGTAATTAATCTTCCCTTCCCCGCCCCCTCTTGGATACGGAACTAAAATCTGTCACTCACCCAAAACCAGGGCCACCTCCTTCCCTCGAAGCTCTTGCTTGTCCTCCCCGGACAGAGCGTCAATGACGGCCTGGAGCAGGTTGCAAACGGCCAGAGACATCTCCTCGTTCTCCACGGCCATGAGGCTGCAGATTCGGTCAACCCGGACTGCGTGCAGAATCGCTGTGGCCTAGACCCCAGAAAGAACGGCAGTCAGTTCAGGGGCCTCCCTTTTGGCTGCCTTGCAGGCTGGGAGGTGGGGGAGGGCTGCTCCCCACCCCAGCCCTACCTGGGGAAAGAAGCCCAGGTGGTCTATGGGTCAGGGGCCCTCCATCTGGGGAGACCCCCGGAACGAACCACACTCCTTTCTAGAGGTCTAGTGCTACACAGCCCACAGCATGGGGCTGTAGAGTGCTGCCCATTGGAGAGTCCAACCGGAGGTGTTCCCTGAATGCAAAATACACGTGGGATTTGGGTCACTCGGTAGAACACGATGGGCCCCAGGGAGCACCGTGTGACCTGGACTACTGCCCAAGACAAAAATCAAACTCACTGCCATTAAGTCCATGCCGACTCCTATCGACCCTGCAGGACAGTATAAAACTGCCCCTGTGAGTTCATGAGCCTCTAACTGTTGACGGGAGTAGAAAGCCTCGCCTTTCTCCTTTGGAGCGGCTGGCAGTTTCGAACTGGCGACCTTGTGGATCGCAGCCCGATTCATAACCACGTCACCAGGGCTCCTGGACGACTACCTAACAATGGATTCACACCTTCCCGGAAGTGGCGAGGAAGAAAAGGGTTGGCCATTTGCTTCAGTTAAGAAAGCCGTGGGGTGCTAGCAGTTCTACCCTGCAAGCAGAGCATCACCTGAGGTGCGTGACGACGTAGCACCCACAGCAGGAGGAAGCAGAATGGGAAATGTCTCGGCTGACATGCGGAGATCCTATGTTTGATAGACTGTTTTGATACGCGTTGCTGAAGCAGATAAATGGTAAGCGCGTGATTAACTTCTTCCTTTCTTTCTGCATGTGACTGTGTGACAGCGTAAGGAGCCCCGGTGGTGAAGTGGCTGCTGACCACAAGGCCAGGAGTTCGAAAACACCAGCTGCTCTGAGGGAGACAGACGGAGCTTTCTACTCCCCGCAGAGTGACAGTCTTGGAAGCCCACGGGGGAGACCCTGTCCTGTAGGGTCATTTTCAGGCTGCCTCGACTCGATGTGAGGGAGTATAAGAATATTTACAATTCCACGTTTGGCTCACACTGTATTTCTATGGGGCAGTGTTGGCTCCTCCCTCTCAATGTAGGGCACCCCGCCCCCACCCCACCACCCCAAGAGCAGACAAAGAAGGGCATCTTCGAGGCTCAGCAAGCCCCGTGCCCCCACCCTCCCTCCTGACCACCTCGACCACCTGCAGGATGCTTGCCTTTGCTTGGTTAGACTCATTTCCGGTTCGAAGGAGTCAGGGGACAGCACAGACTCAAGCAACCAAGATGGGGGACGGGACACTTTAGAGCTCTCATCAGAGTCTATGGGAGCCAGGCACAGCCCTGCCCCAAGGTCATCCTCCAGATCCCTGGGAGGTCAGCCACCCCACCCCAAGCACCCCCATCCCAGGCCTGTACCCTGGATCGGTGGCCGGCACACATTCCAGACAGGGTCCGCACGGCGGCCAGCACCAGCTCGGGCCTCTTGGAGTCCAGGAGCCGCAGCAGCAGGGCCATCCCGTTGTTCTGGAAGATCCTCTCGGCGCCCGCATCCTCACGGCCGAGGACAATGAGGTTGTTGGCGGCCTGAAGGAGAGGGCAGACAAGGAATGTCCTAAGGGAGGTGGGGTGGCCAGGACCTCAGCCCAAGGTCAAGTACAAGGGCTTGTTCCAAAAATGAGGTCATCTTCGTGCCCTTTGGATTCAGAATCTGACCGACGCCTGGGATCCCAGGCCAGGAACACAGTTCAAGAGGAGAAACAAAGTAATTTACATAAAGCCCAACTTGGCGGCGTGCATGGCCGCCTTTCGAGTCACAGGCAGAATGACCACAGCACAGCTTGGGAGGGACGTGGGTCAGCAGGGCAGCGGGGAGTGTTCCCTCAGATGGCATCGCTGCTACAAGGAAATGGCATTTGTGTTTGTGGACAAAGATTTTTTTTAAAAAGATAGAGAAATGAGTTTTTACATGGAGAACTCTTTTCCTTCAGGATGGTTTGGTCATTGGCCTCGGCTGAGTTTCCCTATTCAGAGTCACGTGCAGTTGGAGGAACTGAAATCCCCAGGTTTGAGTTCTGGCTCTGATACATGCTTGCTTTGTGACCTTGGGCAAGTGATACCCCTCGGTGGGGCTCAGCTGCCTCGTGTGTAAAATTAAGCCCCTCGCCACACCACAGTCTCCCACTTGACACCCCATGCACTTTCAGTGTCCACACCCTGCGAGCGGGGTCTGAGACTGAGGGCTAAGGGAAGAACGTATGGGGCCGGAGGAGAAGGGGGTGGGAGGAGGTAGGAAACCAGGTGTGATGGGGTGGCGGTGGAGGTGGTGATGGCGATAGATGTGGTGGAGGTGGTGGTGGGGGTGGTG